GATAGGATTGAAGTCCTAAGCAAACAAAATCGTGAAGCTGTATTTGCCATAGTTCTATTTTTTTTGTTCTTTCGTAGATCCAAATTTGCAGTTTGTGCAGAACAAAGCTCAGAAAAGTTTAGTTTTTGGAGTGCGAATATAGAATCCCTCAGTCATCATGGCTATGGGGATTCTGGGAGCTGCAGTTCAAAAGAATTAACATCTCTAAGTTTAGAAATGTAGAATTTGGAAGTTGTTAAAGAGAGACAGCATGGCGTAATGGTTTGATTGAAAAGGGACACTGAGAGGCCAGAGTTTGAATCCCCACTCAGCCAGGGAAACCCACTGGGTATTTATTTATTTACAATATTTATAGCCTGCCTTTCTCAACCATACGGTGACTCAACGCGGGTTCCCTGAGCAAATCACACACTCCCATCCTAAAGCAGTGCTTCTCAACTTTCCTAATGCCGTGACCCCTTAATACAGTTCCTGATGTTGTGGTGACCCCCAACCACAAATTTATTTTCATTGCTACTTCATAAATGTAATTTTGATACTGTTATGAATCACAATGTAAATAACTGATATACAGGATGTATTTTCATTCACTGGCACAAATTTGGCACAAATACCCGATATGCCCAAATTTGAATACTGGTGGGGTTGGGGGGATTGATTTTGTCATTTAGGAATTGTACTTGCTGGGATATATAGTTAACCTACAATCAAAGAACATTCTGAACTCCACCAATGATGGAATTAAACCAAACTTGGCACACATAACTCCCATGACCAACAGAAAATACTGGAAGGGTTTGGTGGGCATTGACCTTGAGTTTTGGAGTTGTAGTTCACTTACATCCAGAGAGCATGGTGGAATCAAACAATGATGGATCTGGACCAAACTTGGAATGAATATTCAATATGTCCAAATGTAAACACTAGTGGGAAGATAGACCTTGACATTTGGGAGTTGTAGTTGACCTTGAGTTTTGAAGTTGTAGTTCAGTTACATCCAGAGAGAACAGTGGACTCAAACAGTGATGGATCTGGACCAAATTTGGCATGAATCCTTAATATGTCCAGATGTGAACATTTGGGGAAAATAGACCTTGACATTTGGGAGCTGCAATTGCTGGGATGTTTAGTTCACCTACAATCAAAGAGCATTCTGAACCCCACAACAATAGAATTGGACAACTTCCGACACAGAACCCCCATGACCTACAGAAAATACTGTGCTTTCTGATGGTCTTTAGGAGACTCCTCTGACACCCCCTCACGACCCCCCCCCCCGAGTCCTGATCCTCAGATTGAGAAATGCTGTCCTAACTGAAGTCAATGGCAAGCCTCTCCTGAATAAATTGGACCATGAAAAACCTGCAATAGGTTTGCTTTAATGTTGCCATTAATCACAAATGACTTAAAACACGAAACTGGAAGGACATTAAAAATATTTACAGTCATTTCCCAATATCATTACATCATTTTTGTACAGTGCAGTCTGTTTACACTGACTGTAGCATTGTCTGGAGGTGCCAGGGATTGGATCTCGCACTTTTTGTGTGGAACATGAGTACTTTTCCATTAAGGATTATGTTACTAAGCTAGGGACTCTCACCAACAGGAAAACCCTGCAGTATCAAAATGGCAAAAAACAAATTGCTAGATACCAACAGGCTGGCCTTGAATCTCACGGCAGGCAGCTAAGAAACTAAACAAAAACTAAAAAAAAAAGAGACAGAGCAAATGCAATCAGCATCATTCTACTGGGAAAGGCAGACATCAGCTTTGAAAGCATGTTAGGGAGAAAATCAATTGAAATCCAATTTGTTGCCATTACTTACTGGCTAGGAGATCTAAGGATATAGCTCTCATCTTTACCAGGTTGGAGTGATAGAAGTGTCCTGTGAGTTGCTTGTCCCAAATCAGCTGACGTTTTGCTGCGTTAGATAATAGGCGAGATGGCATCCTCCCGTTTCACCTGGAGAAGGCAACCAGAATGGCAATTGAGTCTTCATTCAGCACTGGTGATGGGGAAGCATCTTCCGCTTCAGTGACTCTCAAACTTTGGTCCTCCAGGCATTTTGTACTTCAACTTCCAGAAGCCTCAGACACTTTGGCTAATGATCATAGAATCATAGAATGAGAAGAGTCCACACAGGCCATTCAGTCCAATCCCCTGCCATGCAGGAAAAGTACAATCAAAGCAACCCTAACAGATGGCCATGCACTCCAGTCTCTGTTTAAAAGCCTTCAATGAAGGGGCTTCCACCACACTCTGAGGCATTGAGTTCCCCTGTTGAACATCTCTCATGGTCAGAAAGTTCTTCCTGATGTTCAGGTGGAATGTCCTTTTCTGTAATTTGAACCTATTGCTCCTAGTCTCCAGGACAGCAGAAAACAAGACTACTCCCTCTTTTTCCTGACATCATTTCAAATATTTAAACATGACTATCATGTCTCCTCTCATCCTTCTTCAGGCGAAACATGCCCAGCTCTTTAAGCCTTTTCTCATAGGGCATGGTTTCCAGATCTTGGATCATGTCTCCTCTGGACATGCTCCAGCTTGTCACCATAGATTTTGAAAGCTGAAGTCCAGAATACTTAGAGGATCAGAGTTTGGAAATCTCTGCTCTCCTTCATCTGATATAACTGATTGGATAACTTATTTATTATTTATTTACCGTATTTATAAACTGCCTTTCTCACCCCTGCAGGTTCTCAAGAAGTTTACAACATATTAATGGCAAAAATTCAATGCCATAGTTCAGTAACACAAAGAAATAATAATAACTAAGTAATTAAGCTGCTGGTGGCAAAATGGGTTAAACCCTTGTGCCAACAGGACTGAAGACCGACAGGTCACAGGTTCGAATCCGGGGAGAGCGCAGATGAGCTCCCTCTGTCAGCTCTGGCTCCCCATGTGGGGACATGAGAGAAGCCTCCCACAAGGATGGCAAAACATCAAAACATCCAGGCATCTCCTGGGCAACGTCCTTGCAGACGGCCAATTCTCTTACACCAGAAGCGACTTGCAGTTTCTCAAGTCACTCCTGACATTAAAAAAGTAATTATGACATATAACTTCGACTTAAAATTATTAAAACCATTAGATGTAAGACATAAACAAAATTGTAACTGCAGTTCTCATTGTTTGTTTCACTAGACTTTTTGGATTTCAACTCCCAGAATTTACCTTGGGACATTTGAGCTTTGTTTTTGAGGAGCTGAAGTTCAAAAAACTTGGGGAGGACCAAAGATGGAGAAGCACTTGTCTACAACATGCTGCTCCATCTTCCAGCAGAAGGTACTTCTGCTGCTGCAACTTCTTCCATGTCATCCAGCATCTGACACACGAGGCCGCAGTCTCGTTGCTTTGTGATCGGACTAGCCTAATGGAAGTAGTATTCCACATTTCTTCCAAAGGAAATCTGGATGAAGCCTGTGGGTGCATCCCATCTGATTGACCCACAAATCCAAAGTGGGAAACTAGCTAGATTGAGGACGAGTGGTCCAACCCCTGTAACTTAGCTACATGGCTGAAACAAAGTGTTTATACCAAGGCACTGCAGTAACTTAAAACTTCATATGAGTATTTGGACACACAGTTTAGGCATCCAAAGAAAAGGAGTGGGAAAAATGATCACGAGAATGTGAACAAAGCAAATCTTAAGAGTTTTGGGAGTGAAAGGTTTTGAGAATCTCATAACTCTCTGCAATGCATGGAATTAGAGAAGTGAAGGCTCATTTCATGGAGAGGCAGGATTCCAGCCAGCAAGCAAGAAAGATATTAATTGCCTTCCACTCTCAGTTAAAAGTGATGACTCTCCTGGTTTATTTCAGAGCAATGGGCACTTGCAGAAATTTCTTTCAAGTTACTATGAGATTTCTGCAGGGTAATTCCTTTGACTAGTCTGACTTATGTTTTCCTTTTGCAACTGAGCATACCCACATAGAAATACAGGTGCATTGTGCTATTTAGCTCAGTGGAAGTGTACATGCCTTGCATTTAAAAGGTCCTGGGTTAAATTCCCAGCAAATCCAGGCTGGGAATTTTGAAATGATGCAGAGGTCCTGCTGGCCATGCAAGTCTTCTCGAGTATATCCAATTGCAACTGTTGTCTGTAGGTACGGTAATAGAAACTGTAGTTTGGCATGCTGGAGAATTACCAATTTGGCATCTGTAAACAATACTGAGCAAAAGACTGAATTCAGGGTATCCAAGTATCAAGAGATCAAGCTATACCTGTTTTGCCAGAACAGTCTGATTTTTCATTGAGGGAAAAAGACATTATTATTATTATTATTATTATTATTATTATTATTATTATTATTATTATTATTCTGACACAAAAACATAGTATGTCACAGCAAATGAGATCTATATGCTGGATTTCGTATCATAAAATCACAAGTCGAACACTTCCCAGGTGTCTAGGACTGTGTGATGCATTTTTGAATGATGCGCGCAGATCCAAGTAAGGTGGCCTTTTGCAGTTGACAGATCATGATTTTATCAATGTTTATTGTTTCCAAATGCCAACTGAGATCTTTTGGCATGGCACCCAGTGTGCCGATGACCACTGGGACCACTTGTACTGGTTTATGCCAGAGCCTTTGCGGTTCGATTTTGAGGTCCTGATAACGGCTGAGTTTTTCCTGCTTTTCCTCAATGTGGCTGTCATCCGGTATGGCAACATCAATAATCCAAACTTTTTTTTCTTTTCCACAATTGTGATGTCTGGTGTATTGTGTTCCAAAACGTTGGATTCGAAAGTCCCACAGTATTTTTGCGTGTTCATTTTCTATTATTATTATTATTATTATTATTATTATTATTATTATTATTATTACTATTATATATGCTGCCCTGTCTCCCTGAGGGGAATCAGGGTGGATTTCAACAACCAAGAAAGGCAAACATTCAATGCCTCAGTACAACAACAGATACAAACATAATAACCTAAAATAACTCAACATATGAAAACAACAACAAAACATTTTTCCCCCCTCAGGCACAATCGCAGGGATCAATAACACTGAAAATAATTCCAGCCATTAAAGAAGAAGACCGACTAAAGGACAGCAAGGTAAGAATATCCTTATCACATGTAACTTTGTGATGATCTTGAATCATACTATAGAACAGGTACAAATCCTCTCGGTCTATGGGTATTACTTTTGTGGATTTGATTATTTGTGGATTTGATTTAAAATATTCCCTTTGGGAAACTCTAGGTCCTACAGTGAGGCACTATGGTCAACTTCCACTAGAAACTGACCACAGATTCATGCTGGAGGACCTAGATATCCTAGTGAGGTATTACCTCAAAGAAAAAACACCAGCTTTTTAAAGATTTCTCCTTTTGTGGAGGCCCTGTGCCTCTTATTGGAGTGAACGTGAGGGCTGACGTTAGTATAAGTTGTGATGGGCACCAACTTGAATAGCTTTAAAGAGTAATTGGACTCATTCATGGAGGATAGTAGCTATTGTACATGGTGGATATATATCCCCTGTATTAACAGAGACAGTGTGTTGCTGTATTTTTAGAAGGTGCCGTTGCATTTATGTCCTACTTATGGGTTTCTCATTGGAGCATTTGGTTACCAGTGGGAAACAGGATTAAATAGATTTTGGCTATTTTAGTTTCTCAAATAGGCAAGAGCCACAGTTGCAGGATTGGTTTGTGTGGGCTTAAAAAGTCTTTCATGCTTTCTGCAGAATGTATGAGTTGAGTGGGATGGCATTTGTCAATGGGCACTTTTGTCTTCAGACAAAAGCTTCAGCAATGCTTCTGTCTTGTTAAAAATACCTGGATCCATACGTTCGCTCCTTGGAGAATATATACGGCTCTCCATTCAGAGCTGTCTTTATGGTACAAGCGTAAGCTGATTTCCATAAACTCCAATGGCTTCCTTTCAAAGAATTATAAGAGATGTAACTTTGTGTGACTGCTGATGATTTTTTAAAAATGAAATCTTAGTGTACCATACTGAGATTTAGGGTTGTAAGAATGAAAACTAGAAAGGACTTTTGAATCGTTAATGATTGTGCAGAAGAGGGAATTTTAGCAAGCAACACTTCGTTTTTCCATGCCCCAAATAATTATAGACTGAGTAGCCATATACATTAAAATATATATGTATATGTGTATATATGTGTGTGTATGTATGTATGTATATATTTATTAATATATCAAAAAAGCATAACCTGTTAGAATCATACTCTTTTGGAAAATGGCATTCATGCAAGGCAATCAGATTTCTCAGGTATTAGACTGATAAACTTAGACCGGGGTATTGGGTGGCAGCCTGTGCTGGACGGGGTTGCACTCCCCCTGAAGTCACAGGTCCGCAGTTTGGGGGTCCTCCTGGATTCTTCACTTACGTTTGAGGCTCAGGCGTCGGTGGTGGCCGGGAGGGTTATTGCACAATTAAGACTCGTGCACCAACTGCGACCGTACCTCGGGAAGGCGGATCTAGCCAAAGTGGTCCATGCCTTAGTCACCTCTAGACTGGATTACTGCAATGCACTCTACGTGCGGCTGCCCTTGAAAATGGCCCGGAAATTTCAGATGATCCAACGAGCGGCAGCCAGGTTGTTAACTGGGGCTCCTTACAGGGAGCGGTCAACCCTTCTATTCAAGGAGTTCCACTGGCTGCCATTCATCTACCAGACCCAATTCAAGGTGCAGGTTCTTACCTACAAAGCCCTGAACGGTTTGGGACCCGCCTATCTGCGTGACCGCATCTCCATATATGCACCCACACGATCCCTTTGATCCTCCGGAAAGGCCCTGCTCTCGATCCCACCAGCATCGCAGGCACGATTGCTGGGGATGAGAGAGAGGGCCTTTTCGGTGGTGGCCCCTCGACTCTGGAATGCACTCCCTAAAGACATCAGACAGGCCCCAACTCTAGCAGTCTTCAGGAGGAGCTTGAAGACGTGGCTGTTCCAGTGTGCCTTCCCGGAATAATGATCCCATAGCACTTTGTTCTCCAAAGCACTTTACATTTCTTTAGGTCTGCTAGTATGCCCTTCACAAACACCCTATCTCCTTTCGTCCAGGTCCCAACATTATTTCCAATTTTAACTTTACATTTGGCCTTCCCACTGTTTTTAATTGTGTGTTGCCTTAGTGATAATGTTGTATATTTTATTGCTTATGTTCTTTATTTTTAATTGCTTGTATTGTTGTTTATTGTCTGTATTGTGGTATTTAGGCTCAGCCTCATGTAAGCCGCACCGAGTCCCTTGGGGAGATGGTAGCGGGGTACAAATAAACAAATAAACAAACAAATAAATAAAATAATCAGATATCCATAATTTACTGTTGATGATATTATATTCAATGTTCTGAGGGTCTAATAAAGTGTCTCTCTAGTCTGAAAGTCCAATGGAGTCTCTAAGCATACTGTTTCTGTCGAAGTCTAAATCATACTATTCCTACTGAAGTCTGAAGCAAAACTGTTTCTAAAATGGAGTCTGAGTCTTGAACAAGCTCCCACCTGATCACATGGTCTGCAGCTCCTCCCATGTATATATAAATGTTTATTAATAAGAAATTAATATGCACAGTTAATGTCTTAATAGCTATGGGTAGCTGAAAGAAATAATCTATTTTTTGAAAATAAGTATTATTTTATTTATCTATATAAATAAACAATTGTGTTTTAATGAATAATCTAAAAATAATTCATGTTTATCATTACTGTATTAATAATAAATATATTAATCAAAAGAGTAGTTGTAGAAGGATTTTAGATAATTTAGACTGTAAGTGTACATATATATTCATATGTGTTTTCCTCCACCAAACATTCATGTTTTTTAATAAATTAAACGATGATAAAATGGCATCAGTACCATAATGGTAATAGAAATAATAATTGAAATAAAATAAATAGAATGCAATAATAGGAATAATAGACATGGCCCTGAAACTCACTGTGTAGGAATATGGGTAAATTTTTTAAGGAAAGCGTTTGCCCAAATCTTATTTATGTTCCTCTTTGCCTTATCATTATGAGAACTGTAACTTTTAATTTTCTAATTTATATTCATCTTAGAATGAGAATGGTGTTCACTTCAGAATGTATTCCATAGACAATTCTGTGGGTTTTTTGGCATCTTCATGGAATCACAGGAGACCCGCAACACATCCCAGAAGTGTCCTTGCTTTCTCTTCTGCAGGTCTTCATGAGAGCCCTTTTTCCCTACAACCCCAAAGAGGACAAGGCCATCCCTTGCCAGGAGGCTGGGCTGCCATTTCAGAAGAGGCAAATCCTGGAGGTGGTGAGCCAGGATGACCCAACATGGTGGCAAGCCAAGCGCGTGGGGGACACGAACCTCAGGGCAGGGTTGATCCCTTCCAAACAATTTCAAGAAAGGTGAGTTAGTCAGATGCCAAAGGGGGTGGGTTTTGGCAGGTTTAGGGTATGTGGAGTTGGGACAATAGATTCATTGCATTTTGTGGCACTTTGCATTTGTTTGGGAGGGGGAAAATCTCTTGGAAATACTTTAAAAATATTTTTAGGGGGCTTTTGCTCCCCTGATGGTGCAAATTGGTCCCTTTACCCTCCTGAATTACTTATCTTTGAGTTAAGCTAGTATTTCTCAACCTGGGGGTTGAGAAACACTATAAATCCAAGAGGGATCATGAGGGAGATTTCAGAAGGGTGGCCAGAGACCATCAGAAAACACATATTTCTGATGGTCTTATGAACCCTTTTGGCAGAGAAAGATGAAGATCCTTCCACCTGTCCTTCTCTTCCTTTTTGGTGTTGGTGAACTACAACTCCCAGAATTCAAAAACACCCCCCCCCCAACCCCACCAGTATTCAATGTTGGCCACGTAGGTAGTGGTCGATATTGAAGGTTGAGTGAGAGATCAGGCAGGGAATCAGTACCATGGACAGGTCCACCTGGAGCAAAGTAAACTTTTCATGCTATGAAGGTCCAACCGAATGTCTTCACCCACTGTCCGGAGCTAGCTATTGGATTCCATGTCAGTGAATACATTCTGGAATTTAGTCTGCATTTAAAGAAGCTCTCTAAGGTTTAAATCCTTTTTTGGGATAAGGTTCAGCACCTTAGCTAGTTCTTTTGAAATCTGAATTAAGAAACTAGAGGAAAATCACCACTCCATCTACATGGAAGCTACCAAATACCACTACAGGGTCGAATAAGCTGAAGTTAGTTCAACGTTTTGTGCAGACCCATTGTGGGCTGGGTTCAGAGTGCTCTTTGATTGTAGGTTAACTATAAATCCCAGAAATTACACCTTCCAAATGTCAAGGTCTATTTTCCCCAAACTCCACCAGTGTTCACATCTGGGTATATTGAGTATTCATGCAAAGTTTGGTCCAGATCCATCATTGTTTGAGTCCACAGTGCTCTCCGGATGTAGGTGAACTACAACTCCAAAGCTCAAGGTCAATGCCCACCAAACCCTTCAAGTATTTTCTGTTGGTCATGGGAATTCTGTGTGCCAAGTTTGGTTCAATTCCATGGTTGATGGATTTCAAAATGCTCTTTGATTGTAGGTTAACTATAAATTCCAGCAACTACAACTTCCAAATGATGAAATCAATCCCCTCCAACCCCACCAGTATTTAAATTTGGGTGTATCAGGTATTTGTGCCATATTTGGTCCAGTGTATGAAAATACATCCTGCATATCAGATATTTACATTATGATTCATAACGGTAGCAAAATTACCAATATGAAGTAGCAACGAAAATAATGTTATGGTTGGAGGTCACCACAACATGAGGAACTGTATTAAGGGGTCACAGCATTAGGAAGATTGGGAACTACTGATTTAAGCATTTAGTTCCCTTTGAAAAGTGGGATTCTCTCAAATGCTCTTGCGGATCATAGGGACTGAGGTTTTTCTTTCTCTTAAACCATCTGCACCAGCGAGGAGCCTGTTTAGACAACACAATCCATCTCCTCCAAAAAGCAAGATGTAACTTGCCCATGCAATTTTTTCACTTCTTAAACATTGATTTTTAGTACTAAGAAGGGAACAAATCAATGGTAATAGAAACAAATGTTCCGCATCTTGCAAACTGGCTGCCTTCCGCCTTTAATCAGGGTATTTGCCTGCGAATATTCATCTTTGGACAGCTCCTCTTTCCCTCTGCCTGCAGCAACTAAGTGAGTAATAACTGATGAGACCCAGAAGCACAGAGACTTGCAGCACTGCAGGCAGCTTTTAAACATCCTTTCTCTTTTGCTATGCTTTGTGTAGCCAAGTGGGAAGAGGGATGGAAAGGATGGCATCCTTCCTTGGCTATTACTGAATGGCTACATTTCAAAGGAAGCAGTTCTCTTCCTGTTGGCTTTATTCACTAGCCAGCTTTCACAAATGGCCATACATGTGATTCCTCTAACATAAAGGAAAAAGAAATAAAGAATATGAATTGGCATGCAATGTGTATTTGTTATAGCGAGTAGTTTGATCCTCAGGCTTAAAAGATCCATGCTGAATCTCTGTGTGAGACTAGGCATGGACTTGGTGTCTCCATCAGTGGACTTTCCCAAGTCTTTTTCCTAAATGGCTGTCCCCGAAGAAAGTGTAACATGCACAGGTATCTATAACAACAAATACAAAAACTGCAGATTAAAATCACAATTTCTATATTACAGGAAATTCTTCATTAAATGTAATGTGAGAACATGATTAATTGGTAACTGTTTATAAATGAAATATTGTTTATCAATATTTTGTCAACATAATGAAACTTAAGCTTCCAAAATAACAATTACTATATACCAGGAGAGTCTTCATAAGTACATGACGTCAGAAATAGTCACTCAAGTATTGTTAAATGCAATATAATGAAATTTCAGCTTCCAAAATAGCAATGTCTATATTGTAGAAGGTTCTTCATCAATATATGATGTCAGGAACAGTATTTAACAATATTTAACAATATTTGACAATATTTAACAATATTTGAGTGACTATTTCTGACATCATGTAGTTATGAAGTTTCTCCTGGTATATAATAATTGTTATTTTGGAAGCTTAAGTTTCATTGTGTTGACAAAATATTGATAAACAATCTTCCATTTATAAACAGTTACTAATTAATCATGTTAATGTTCCCACGTTATATTTAATGAAGAATTTCCTGTAATATAGAAATTGTGATTTGCAGTCCCCGAAGAAAACCCGAAATAGTGTTTCCCAAGCTCTTTTCTTCCAGGTGTTTTGAACTTCAGCTCCCAAAATTCCTGAGACAGACAGCTGAGATTTCTGGATACTGAAATCCATAACACTGGGAGGATTAGAATATTGAAATTAGTTACTTAGGCTGGATCTACACAGTCATATAATCCAGTTTCAGAATGCAGACTGGTTGCAGACCACATGTCTTCACCCACTGTCTGGAGTTAGCTATTGGATTCCATGTCAGTGAATACATTCTGGTTTAAATCCTTTCTGGGGAGAAAGTTCAGCACTTTCGCTAGTTCTCTTGAAATCTGAACTAAAAAAACTAGAGGAAAATCACCACTCCATCTAAATGGAAGCTACCAACTACCACTATGGGGTTGAATAAGCTGCAGTTAGTTCAACGTTTGTAGTCTTGATTCTTTGGGGAAGCTACCAATGTCTTAAAGCAAGTGTGGAGGACCTTTTGGACCTCCGGATGTTCAGAACTTCAATTCCTAGAAAGCTTTCTTTGTGCAGGGATTATAGGTATTTTAGTATGCTGCAATGTCTAATTTACTTGGTACTGGGGTGATTCCCAGGTTTTTAACAATAGCAGCTTCCCAGAAATGAAGAAGATTTCAGGTACCTAATGGACCTGTCCCTCCATATTTGTGGTTTTGACTTGTGCAGATTTGCTCTTTTGTGGATTTGATTAAAATGTTCTCTTTAGAAATCCCTAGATTCCTTTGATGTGATTCTATAGTCAGCTTCTATAAGAAGTAGACCATAGAATCATGAAATCCTTAGATGTTTTCTCAGGTAAAAAAACCCAATATTATAGCTATTCAGTCTTTCATTTTCATGGGGTTCGTGTACCCCTAAACCCAGAGAATATGGAAGGCTGATGTAGTGGATTCTTGTGTGGAAGGAGCATCTGTACTATTCTGATGCAAAAACAAAAATCTTGGGCTTAGAATTATTAAATTCTTCTGTATTTTATTGCAGGCACAGGTTGGTAGAAAGCAAGGTTCTGGGACAGGAAAACAATTGAAAGGAAAGTATTTGGATGAGATAGAAAAGCTTGTTTTATACTCCCCTGAGGGGAAGTGATATATTTAAATGCTAATTGAGTGCTTTCTCCTTTTACTGGATAGTTTCAGAGCAGCATTAAGATAACATCATCTCAGGGCCTTTCAATATAATTTTACTGGCATAAGAGTCAAATATATTGATTGCCTGGCTGGCATGTTGCTTTTCCTACGTGACCATCTCTTGTAAAGGGACACAGGAAATGTTGGGAGCAGTGGAAACTGGAAGAGCAAGATCAGATTGTATCAGCTTCTATCAAAAAACAACTAATATAAGTGATCAGCTTAAAACATGTCTTTTGTGTCTCTTCAACCCATTCTTGACTTAGGGTTTTTTGGAAATGGAAATCTCCACAACCTTTTGGAGATTTTATGATCCTTGGAAAGGCGTGACCATATTAGAAATCATAATCTTTTGAAAAATGATGCCATAACCTCTTAGTAAAAAGCATAACCTGTTAGAGACATAACCTTTTGGGAAAATGGCATTCATGCTAGGCAATCAGGTTTCTCAGGTATTCTGTTAGGAACAAAGATAAGCCAATGGACAAACACACACACACACACACACACACACACACATGTACTCTATATAGCAGAGTTTCAGAAGTGTTATTTTAGTTCCCCAAAAACAATCTACTCTCCCTGTGGACTCAAACACCTGTGGAGTTTGGGAAAAAAAGGCCTTGACATTTGGGAGTTGTAGTTGCTGGGATTGATTGTTCACTTACAATCAAAGAGCATTCTGAACCCCATCAACAATAGAATTGGGCCAAACTTACAACATAGAACTCCCATGAACAACAGAAAATACTGTGCTTTCTTATGGTCTCTGGTGACCCCTCTGACACCCCCCCTCACGACCCTCCTCAGGGGTCCCGACCCCCAGGTTGGAAAACACTGCTTTAAGCATACTGTTTCTATTGAAGTCTACAGCACACTGTTCCTACTGAAGTCCAAAGCAAAACTGTTTCTAAAATGGAGTCTGAGTCCTGAACAAGCCCAGACCTAATCACATGGTCTGCAGCCCCTCCCACAACAAAGAGTTAAAGAAGAACTGCAAACCAATATATACATATACAATACAGTAAGCAATCTGAATTATATACATAAATAACTAGTGAAGGCTTGAAAAAGGTTGCTATTTCCAACAAGGGTGACTCTTGTGAGTTTTTTCAGGACAGAATTTGTTGAGGAGGGTCTTTCCCTTAATTTCCCCTGAGGCTGAGAGTGTGTGACCTGCACAAAGTCACCCAGTGTTTTTCATGGCTGGGGAAGGGTTCAAACCTTGGTCTCCCAAGATCCTAGTCCAGTGCTCGAATCATTGCACCATGCTGGCTCTCAAAAGACATGCTTTGGATGTAAATAAAAAGACTGTTTGTTGGGAGAAAGATGGAATACAAATTAAGCAGACAGATCATTAGAGTCTTGTTGATTTCAGTAGGAATAACTGACTTCAACTATCTTAATTTGTGTCTTTCTATGATTTTTGTTTGAAGGCTCCTGGTATCCACTTAACTCCTTTTTGACAGCTAATGCTTTGTTTCTGTATCTAGACGTCTGATGTACAGAAGGACCATTGGCATGCTGCATAACACCAGAAGTGTCACAAAACCACTCTGTGAGTCACTGTAAACCTTCTCTCTTACTTGTTCTGTTGCTCATATATTTGCATTGAATCTAGACTCTCTTGGGGTCTCTGTTAGTTTAATGATAAGGTCATTGACGTGATTGGTTGAAGAATGTGACATATGCAGCAATGATACACATTGCCATTTGAAGATACAAATAAGCCAGTGATCATCTAGACAGGAGATTTTTCTGGGAATTGTAATCTAAACCAGTTACTCCTCCAAACTCTATTGGAAGGGGGGAAAAAAAGGTGAGCCTCTTGTGAAGAAAATGTTGTGTCTCAGTCTGAGTACAATTGAAAGCGGAAAAATTTGTCATGAAGTCTACAGAAGGGAATTTTGCTGTCATTTTAACAGAGGGATGAATTGGGGAGGAAGGTACTGAAATTGGCATGTAAATAATAAATTCCTAGCTTTATATGCATGCCAGTCTGTGCGCATAGCAATAAATTAAATATAGGGATCAAGTCACCTTCCAGATGCTGTTGAACTTTAATTCCTATGAGGTCTAACTGGCATAACAGAGATAAAGTGTGCATACTAAGAGCATTTAGAAGTCTTCAAGTTGTTCCCTCTTACAACAATTAAATGTGATATCGTTTATATCATAAGATAGCAAACATTTTGCTAGAAAGGTGGGAAATAAATCTCAGTATTACATATCAGCATATTGACAAGGGTAGTTTTGTGATAATTTCAGTACGTTTCAGATGTACCCATTTCTAATTGCTTAAGCACCAAGCAGAATTTGGGGAAGTAACTTATTTGGACAACAACATTGGCAGTGCTGGCTGGGGAATTCTGGGATCTGTGGTCCAAAAAGTTATATTTTTCCCCAAGATCTGGTAATGAAGAGGAGAATTGGAGATTAGAAAACATCTTGTGTCTTCCTTTGTAATCACCAACCAAAGAAGTTAGAAAAAAATATTCGTTATAGGGTTGTTACAGGGTTAAACCGCTGAGCTTCTGAACTTGTTGACCGAAAGGTTGCGGGTTCGAATCCTGGAAGCGGTGTCAGATCCCAGCTTCTGCCAACCTAGCAGTTCAAAAACATGTAAATGCAAGTAGATCCATACATACCGCTTCTGCAGGAAGGTAACGTTGTTCCATGCAGTCATGCCAGCCACATGACTTTGGAGGTGTCTATGAACAACACCGGCTCTTCGGCTTAGAAATGGAGACGAGCACCAGAGTCAGACACAACTAGACTTAATGTCAGGGGAAAACCTTTACATTTTTATAGGGTTGCTGAGAGTTTTCTGGGCTGTATGGCTATACAGTCCTGAAAACTCACAGCAACCTAGTGATTCCGTCCATGAAAGCCTTCGACAGCACAACCTTCATTGCACTTTGAGAGCCAGAATCTCATATTTGAGCCTTTGGATGATTTTTCTATGCCTTCTTTTAACTTTCTTACCTCTGTCTTTTTATGCTAACCATAGATGATCAATCTTCTGAGAAAGGTAGGTTCTCTGCTTAGCCTGGAGTAAGTCAGCAGTGACTTGTTTACACACAAAAAACTTCCCAAATAAAAATGTCTTTCTTTGGAACTGAAGCAAAGTGAAGCCAATTTGGATTCTCAAAAAGAAAGTATGGTTCATGCAGCTAGCTCAGGTATGGGCGAACTTGAGGCCTTCAGGTGTTTTGGACTTCAACTCCCACCATTCCTAACAGCCTCAGGTCCCTTTCTTTCCCCCCTCAGCCGCTTAAGCGGCTGAGGGGGGAAAGGAAAGGGCCTGAGGCTGTTAGGAATGATGGGAGTTGAAGTCCAAAACACCTGGAGGCCCCAAGTTTGCCCATGCTCGAGCTAGAATAAGTGGTGCAACATGGGTGTTTTGTTCACCCTACTTTCCGTAATGAATTTTGCTTCTGAGAATCCAAATAACTTGGATAAATCATGGCAAGAGAGGAAGTAGATATATATTTATATTAGAAGGAAACTTTTCAATTCCTAGGAAAATCCTCTGTTTTCTGGGAGGGAGGTGTCAAAGCGAAGCTGTTTTCACGAATGCTTGCCTAACAACACACAGCCCCATCAATAGGAGCTTGATTGAGAATGGATCCAGGAAATAATGCCACCAGCATGCTAAATGGGTTGGTTGATTTGGACTTTAATCTAATTTCCTTTCTGTTCCCACTTCAGCCTGGGTCTGAGTTCATTTATTTCTCTCTGGCCAAGTCAATAGCAATCATGAACTTGAACTAGGCTTGTTTTTTTCTGTTCTTTGTAGGACATGTTATGAAGGCTTAAAGGGTTGAGGGTTGCGTTTTCTCTTTTAACCTTGGGGAACTCTGGTGCCAATCTTGTTTAATTTTCCTTAGCTATTAATTTACTTGGCGTTTTTTAACATGTAATTTTTTTGTGTGCTAATCACATGGATTAAGCCCCTGCTGATTCTTAAAAGCAATTGTGCTGCTCCTTGAAGCTTTTGTTAACCCAGTAGGTAATTTCCTGTTGAACCACAGACGGGTTTCTTTGATTTGCTTATCTCCCACCCACCACCCACTTTGATTTGGACCTACTCCTTTCGGAAAAGAGCTGATCTTTGAGACTTTCAGCCTTCAGGACCGGGAGAGAGTACTTTTAAAAGAAAACATAATGACTGTAGAGAATTTAGTGTTTAAAGGGATTTATAAATAAAAAGCAATTGTTAATATTGTTGCCATTCCCATCATTCTCATCGCCATTGGGGTCACATTTCAATTCCATAGTGTTAACTCATGGCATAACTCGCTTTCTACCACCATGTGGCCTCATGCATTGCTATCATTAAGGAACATAACTAGAAATCTAGTTGGGAGGGTGGGAAGAAAAAGCTTTTAACTGCAGCAGTAAACATTGCCAGATTTATTATGGTGGGTTTGAGACTCACCCTTGGATGTTTTGCTAATTTGGGACGCAAAGTGGTTATTGGAACAACTTTCCCTAGCTTCACCAATGAGAAACTTTGTTGAGAGTTAAAGTCCAAAACATCTGGAGGACCAAAGGTTGGACACCACTGATGTAGAACTTTGACTTTTCAGATTTGTAGAACTTCAGTTCCCAATAGTCTCCAGCCAACATGGATAACTGTATGGGAGTGGGACTATGGGAGGTAGCTTAGGAAAAGTGTGGTGTAGTGTTGGACAAGGACTCTAGAAGGTAAAGGTAAAGGTTTCCCTTTAACATTAAGTCCAGTCGTGTCTGACTCTGGGGATTGGTGCTCATGTCCATTTCTAAGCTGAAGAGCCAGAGTTGTCCGTAGACACCTCCAAGGCCAAGGCCATGACTGCATGGAGCACCATTACCTTCCCATCAGAACAGTACTTATTGATCAACTTACATTTGCATATTTTCAAATTGCTAGGTTGGCAGAAGCTTCTCGAATTCAAACTGCCAACCTTTTGGTCAGCAAGTTCAGCAGCTCAGCTGTTTAACCCACTGCACCATCGGGGACCCTTCTAGAAACTAGGGTACAAGTCCCTGCTTGACCATGGAAACCCACTAAATGGGTTTCCAAGTTGCACTCTTTTCAGCCTTAGCAGAAAACAGTGATAGACTCCCTCTTGAGAAATCTGGGCAATATAATCCCATGATAGGTTTGTCCTACAAATACTATAAATCAGAAATGATTTGAATGCATACAACAACATCTGGAGGAACAAATGTTTATAAGTGGTGAAGCTAGGGAAAGCTTCTCCAACCACTATAAGCATTGTCTCCCAAAATAGCAGAACATCCAAGAATGAATTTAAAACATACCAAAATAAATCTGGCAATGTTTATTGCTGCAGTTCCATACATTTTCTTCCCACCCTCCTAACTAAATTTCTAGTTGTGATCCGTAATGACAGTCATGTGTGTGAAATACTTAAATAAGGTAATGTGGCCAACCTCCTCTAAGTAAACTTCGCCAAGAAAATTATCTGATGGGTTTGCTATTAATCGGATTTGGGTTGAAGGCACACAACAACAAAGTGGGGAAACAATTCTACCTCCCAGTACACTCTTAGGCCCAAATCCAATTGTTAGCTAGAATAGGCCATGGAATCAATCACTGAATGGGAAGTCAATGCTTGTGTGTATTCTTTGAGACAGCAGGCCTGGATTTAGGTATAAGGTGACTAATCCCTTATAGGAAATATTTGGGATCAGAAGTGTTTAGATTTCATTGTTTCAAATTTTGCTAAATTTGTATGTACATAATGAGGTATCTTGGGCATGGGAACCACGTTTCATCACAAAATTCATGTATTGCATGAAGTCATTTTTTACACCAGATTTCTAATAATTTTGAGCATGAAACAAAGTTTGCATACATTGTTGTTGCTGTTTATCTGTTCAGTCACTTCTGACTCTTCGTGACTTCATGGACCAGCCCATGCCAGAGCTCCGTCAGCTGTCACCACCCCCAGCTCCTTCAAAGTCAAGCCAGTCACTGAATAAAATCCATCAATCTTATCCTTGGTTTGCCCCTCTTCCTTTTTCCTTAGATTTTCCCCAGCATCATTATCTTCTCCAAGCTTTCCTGTCTTCTCATTATGTGGCCAAAGTACTTCATCTTTGCCTCTAATATCCTTCCCTCCAGTGAGCAACCAGGCATTATTTCCTGGAGTATGGACTGGTTGGATCTTCTTACAGTCCAAGGCACTCTCAGAATTTTCTTCCACTACAGTTCAAAAGCGTCTTCCTTTGCTCAGCCTTCCTTATGGTCCAGCTCTCACATTCATAGGTTACTACAGGGAATACCATTGCTTTAACTATGCGGATCTTCGTTGCCATTGTGATGCTTCTACTCTTAACTATTTTATCAAGATTGGTCATTGCTCTCCTCCCAAGAAGTAAACGCCTTCTGATTTCCTGACTGCAGTCTGCAAATGCAGTAATCTTTGCACATAGAAATACAAAGTCTGTCACTGCCTCCACATTTTCTCCCTCTATTTGCCAGCTTTCAATCAGTCTGGTTGCCATCTTGGTTTTTTAAATGTTTAACTGCAACCCAGGGCCGGCCCGTCCATTACTCGAAGTAAGCGGTGGCGGAATACTTTTTTTGCCAGGGGGCGCTGTTCTGTCCTTAGGCCACGCCTCCTCCTGGAGGCCCCATGCGCCCTCAACAGCCTTCTAATGGAGAAGCGCAGGCCCCGCCCACTAGGCGAGAGGGAAGTCCTCCCTCCACGTGCTGCCAGGAGGCAGCCAGCCAGGCTCTTTCGCTTTCCCTTTCCTTCCCTGCAGCTGAGCCTGGACCCCTCTCAGGGCAGCAAGGAGGCCTGGTCAAAAGGTACTGCAAATGTCATCTTTTGTACATGCCTCCCCCAAACCCCTCTAGTATTTGGTAATGGAAGTCCTATATGCCAAGCTTGGTTCAATTCTATTGTTGGTGGAGCTCAGAATGTTCTTTGGTGCTTGGTAAACTGCAATTCCCAAATGTCAGGGTCTATTTTTCCCAACCCCCTCTCCAGTATTTTCTGTTAGTCATGGAAGTCCTGTATGCCAAGTTTGGTTCAGTTCTATTATTGGTGGAGTTCAGAATGCTCTTTGGTGCTTGGTGAAGCATTCTCACCTGATGTTTCACCCACATCTATGGCAGGCATCCTCAAGAGGCTGTGAGGTCTGTTTGTAACTAGCAAGTGGGGTTTGTATATCTGTGGAATGTCCAGGGTGGGAAAAAGAACTCATGTCTGCTTGAGGTAAGTGTGAATGTTGCAATTGGTCATCTTGATGAGTATTTAATGGCCTTGCAGCTTCGAAGCCGAGCTAGTTGCTGCCCAGGAATCCTTTGTTGGGAGCAGTTAACTGGCCCTGATTGCTTCATGTCAGGAATTCCCCCCCTTTTTTAGTGTTGCTCTTTATTTATTGTTCTGATTTTAGAGGGTTATTTTAGAGGGTACTGGTAGCCAGATTTTGTTCCTCTGAGGTTGCCTGCCATAGATGTGGGGAAAATGTCAGGAGGGAATGCTTCTGGAACATGGCCATACAGCCCAGAAAACTCACAGCAACTCAGTGATTCTGGCCATGAAAGCCTTCCACAACACATTATTATGTTTATTTATACCCTGCTTTTTCTCTCCCCAAGAAGACTCAAGTTGGCTTAGATTAAAAACATTTCAGTACAGTTTAAAATCCACAAATATGCAAACATTAAAATGGAATTAAATATCATTGGTATTTTAAAAATTCAGTTAAAATCCATAAAAAACATATTCAAAACTAAAAACTGCAGCAGACCCTGACTTGATCTTTAAAACCTTTTAGAGCCTGCATTAGATTACCAAATGTAATGTCCCTTTATACACACTGCTTTATATTAATTTCCCCAGTATTCCTTTATCTGATTTGTCATCAACACACTTAATGGACTGCAAAAATATGATCCTGTGTGATTCCTTTCCATTGCTGGCCGAATAGTTTAAATTTGGATAATATTTTGACTTTGATATTTTAGCAATTACATTTTGCAGCAGTGTCTTTTGGGTTGCTAACTCTTGTCCTTCCACTTATCCTTCCATCAGTTCCAGGGCTCAATCCCAACTGCTGTTGGACGAGACACTATGGAGCTCTATATTTATATTTCCACAGTACAAAGTGGCAAAATCAAAGACTGCTTTGGGATTTTTTTTTTAAAAAAAATGTTTTCAAACCATGGATGGTTGAAGCAGTGGTTGCAGAACACCAACTGTGTAACACTGTCACTGTACGAGTAAAGCAACAACAAAATGCTCCCCTGCCCTTAGGTGTATAATTTAATTAAAACATGACACAAAGGCAAAAGGATGCCAGTGTGGGAAGGGATGAAGGGCCTGTCCAGACAGGCCCTATATCCCAGGATGTGATTGCAGGTTTTCTGTTTATCCTGGATTATCTGGCAGAGTGGACTCATATGATCCAGTTTAAAGCTGTGCTCCTCGTTATTTATTTATTTGTCGTGTCAGGGCAACCAGACAATTGTATTACATTTCTAACAGAACAAAACAAACAAACAGACAAAATACAAAATTTGCAAGTTTGGTAGTTGATTAAATGTCCTTTGATCAGTATCTGGCCACTTGGAGTGCTTCTGGTGTTGCCGCAAGAAGGTCCTCCCTTGTGCATGTGGCAGGGCTCAGGGTTCATTGCAGCAGGTGGTCAGTGGTTTGCTCCTCTCCACACTCGCACGTCAAGGATTCCACTTTGTGGCCCCATTTCTGAAGGTTGGCTCTGCATCTCGTGGTGCCAGAGCGCAGTCTGTTCAGCGCTTTCCAAGTCGCCCAGTCCTCTGTGTGCCCAGGGGGAGTCTCTCATTTGGTATCAGCCATTGGTTGAGGTTCTGGGTTTGAGCCTGCCACTTTTGGACTCTCGCTTGCTGAGGTGTTCCAGCGAGTGTCTCTGTAGATCTTAGAAAACTATTTCTAGATTTAAGTTGTTGACGTGCTGGCTGATACCCAAACAGGGGATGAGCTGGAGATGTCTCTGCCTTGGTCCTTTCACTATTGGCCGCCACTTCCCGGCGGATGTCAGGTGGTGCAATACCGGCTAGGCAGTATAATTTTTCCAGTGGTGTAGGGCGTAAACACCCTGTGATAATGCGGCATAGGGCCTGTCTGGAAGGGCTCCATGGCTTCACATGCCACCTGTTTCTCCAAGGCCAAAGCAGTGGCAGTTGGATGGAAGGAGGGCTCTTCATCTGCTTCTGGGTCAAGCACATGCAAGAGCAAACCAGCCCTCCAGGTGTTTCGGACTTCAACTCCCACAATACCTAACAGCCGGTCTAGCAGTTTGTAATGTAATACAGGTTGAGTATCCCTGATCCAAAGTGCTTTGAACTAGAAGTGTGTAAATCACTTTGAGTCCTCCTGAGGGTGAGAAAAGCGGTATACAAATACTGTAAATAAATAAATAAAATGTTTGGGATTATGGGATAGCTGTTTACATACACAATGACACATTTCAAAGATAGCACCCAAGATGAAACACAAAAGAGGCATGCACGAGGCCTCTTTTCCCACGTGCCCGGCAATGCCGCTGCGCATCCCTCTCTCGGCATTAGGAAATGTGCGCCCTGCATCGCCCTCCTTCTCCATGCACTTCCTAACGCTGGGAGAAGGATGCACACTGGCGTTGTTGTCTCCCTTGGCCTGCAAGGAGGAGGAGGAGAGGAGGACAACGTGCGCACTTGTGAGGGAAGGATGGAGGGAGAGCATGCTCCCTGCATGAGGGCTCTTTTTCCGTGCGCCTGGTAATGCCGGCGCGTGTCCCTCTCCCTGAGTTGCAAAGCGTGTGGGGGAAGAGAATGCAAAGCGCATACCCAGGAGCCGATGGAGCACAGGGCCTCTTCTCCTGTGTGAAGAGGGGCAGCATTGCAAGTGCCTCTCCAGGCAGCTGTGCCATCACCCCTCTCAGGGCGGCAAGGAGGTTTCTTCATGAACGGAAGTGACTGAAGGTAATGCAAATCTAAATTATTGTACATGTTTCCCCAAAATCCCTCCAGTATCAGAGTCTATTTTCCCCAAATCCCTTCAGTATTTTGTGTTGGAACTACATCAACACTGACAAAGAAACAACAAGAAATACTGTTTACCCACAAGCATAAGAAATTACATATATTAGAAACCAACTTTCTTATTACTTTTTTCCAGATCACAGACTGGGCCACAGCAACGCGTGGCAGGGGATGGCTAGTGTGTGTGTGTGTGTATGTGGTGGCATGGGCCAACTTCAGCCCTCCATGTGTTTTGGACTTCATTCCCACAATTCCAAACAGCCAGTAGGAAGTCCCAAATACCCTGGAGGGCCAAAATTTGTCCATGCCCCCATATATAATATATATATAATGTGATTGGTTTTGGGGGGGGGGGGCGCCAAAATACTGTTTGCTTACCATTGAAAATTACCTAGGGCCGCCTCTGACTGCAACCCAGCTTTTGCACTTCCTTCTTTCACCTTAGTTGGAAGGCTCCTCAGCTCCTCCTCGCTTTCAGCCATCAAAGTGTTATCATTTGCATGTCGAAGGTTGTAAATGTTTCTTCCAGCAACTTTAGCTCCAGCCTTGGATTCATCATGCCTTGCACATTGCATGATGTGTTCTGCATACAAGTTGAAGAGGTCAGATGGGAGTATACAGCCTTGCTGTACTCCTTCCCCAATCTTGAATCAGTCGGTTGCTACTTGGTGGTTATACAGATTCCTCCGGAGACAAACAAGGTGACTTAGTATCCCCATACCACCAAGAACTTGCCACAATTTGAGTACATTGAACTATGAGAAAGCAAAGCTATCACTGTGTCATCTACCCATGCAGACAATTTTGGAATATTTCACATTTTGGAATTCTGGATAAGGAATGCCCAACCTGTCCCTGTTGCTAAGACTAAACGTGGCTGCTCATGCGCAAAGGCTCTTCCAGATGAAGATTAAAATGAAAAACTTCTGAGCTGTTATTCATCAGGAGGCTTAGGGAAATTTTTTCCCTTGGGGCTGATTTTTAAAAAAATATTAGATCTATGAGTTAATTGGCTACATTATCACCAACAGTAGTTGGTTGATGATCAGTGTTAGTAAGGTAATTGTTCAGCCTGTGCTTTTTGAAAATTGTTTCCTTCTGACCTTGCTGTTTATTGCCTCCTTGCTTCTAATACCTGCAGGCTCAAGTGGAATGCTTTGCACGTTTCATAGATTTTACTTCACAAGTGAGTTTTTACACATTTTTCTCTTCCTTTCTCTTTTCCTCCCAAACAGAAGACTGCGATTGCGAGGGATACTTCAATGGACAATATATAGGTGAGGATCGGATGGGCATAAGTCCTATAATCTGGCTGCTTGAATAACTTAATTGTATATTACTGTGAACACTTTTTTTTGGAGGGCTGACTTTATCTGTTTTGTTATATTGTAATAGTTTTATTCATGAAAGAAAGGGAGGATATAAACAGAATGAATAATAAAATCAGGGAATCATAACCCCGTGCCATGCAGGAACACTCTAACAAATGATGAAGGAGTTTTGCTTGGGCAACAGGACTTTTATTTTTTCTATCTAGCCCCCTAGACCAGGTATGGGCAAACTTTGGCCCTTCAGGTGTTTTGGACTTCAACTCCCACAATTCCTGGCCTCAGGCCCCTTCCTTTTGCCCTGCAGCCGCTTAAGTGGCTGCGGGGCAAAAGGAAGGGGCCTGAGGCCAGGAATTGTGGGAGTTGAAGTCCAAAACACCTGGAGGGCCAAAGTTTGCCCATACCTGGTCTAGACACTCCAGCTCTGCTCCTTAGGACCTTGTCAAACCCTCTAGACTAGAGTCAGAGCGGGAGATTTGATTGTTCAGCCATTCCTTTCCTACTGTTAGATACTGGACAGCATTTTATACAAACCAGTGAAACTAGCATAAGTCAAGCTTGCCAATGCTAATACTGTCTTTGGCATTGCAGCCGGCTTGAGGCGGAGTTTCCGGCTGAGCCGAAAGGAGAAGCAGAATGGTCAGAATGATGCCAAGCAAGTTGAGCAAACCCAGGCCCCAGAGTTTCTCACATATGAAGAAGTCATCAAATACCAACAACCGCCAGGAGACAGAAAGAGGCTGGTAGTTTTAATTGGTGAGTTGCTCCATGTGAAAAGGATACTGTTGACGGGCTGGAGGCTAAGCAGCATTTCCACCCTGAAGAAAGAAAAAAACCCTTAAGGTATCAGGGAGAGGGGGTGGTCTGGTGCAGTGCACTGGTAGGAGATAAAGGTTGATTCAGACTACAATTCCCATGCTTTCAAACTACAACTCCCATGATTCCATAGCACTGTGCCATAGAAGTTAAAATGGAATCAAATTGCATTAATTCTGCTATCTATCTATCTATCTATCTATCTATCTATCTACCTACCTACCTATCTATCTACTGTATTTATACACAGCCTTTCTTACCCCTGGGGGGACTCAAGGCAGTTTACAGCATATTAATGGCAAAAATTCAACACCAACATACATGTAGAAAGAAAAAAAAACCCATAATAACTAAACACTTGCATATAACTATAAATTAAAATAATTAAGACCATTAAACGTAAGGCATAAACAACATTTAAAGTTTAAGACAAAGCATTAAAACATCTAGTATAAATATTATAATCACATGATCCAAATATCATACACAGTTACCATTCCGATTGTCATTACACATATTTCCTAATTATTCTTTACACTGCATTATTTTAATGGCCAAAGGCTTGGTCCCACAACCATGTCTTTGTTTTCTTTATAAAGGCCAGGAGGGAGGGTGCTTATCTAATCTCATTGGGGAGAGAGTTCCAGAGCTGAGGAGCCACCACTGAGAAGGCCCTGTCTCTCATCCCCACCAATCACACTTGCGGCAGAGGCAGGACCGAGAGCAGGGCCTCCCAGAAGGTCTTAACCTCCATGATGGTTCATAGAGGGAGATATGTTTGACAGTGTAGCTGCATCCATAATGAAAGAGGTCATAAATTCGTGCACTAATTAGTTTGTTTTAATATATGTCTCTGCCAGGAAGGTATAGAGACGTTTGTGGGATGTTCTGACTCGTATGTCAGACTGACTTCCTTGGTCTTGGAGGCATTGCACCACGACTTAAATTGCCGAGAGGCAACTGTGGCTGGTGGATACCATCTCAGCTGATCATTGAATCTGCTCCAAGCTTTAGTATGAACATTAAAGAAGCTGTCCAAGATATGGTAGCTATTTGCAGAATGGCACTTTCAGCATTTTGGAGAGTTTCTTTCTTGATTGTACTAAAACCTAGCTTCCAGTCCAATCAATTAGGAGTTTCCCATTTTGCAAACAGAATGGTTGTTGTGGAATCCTCCCAGGAATAAATAACGGCTGTCTGCGGTCTATCCTAGGTGTATTTCTTTGGGGGAAGTGACAATGAATACATGGAGGACACTTATAATTACACTTTGTGTCTGTAAGAATCTTCATATTTAAAAATGGTTCAGTGATAATGGATGGGAAAAGCAATTTGCCTCCTCCTTGCAAATAGGCCAAATGAATAACAATATGCCTTTCCAAGTTGAGCCTCCCTTGAAAACATTTCTGGCATTACTAGTTAAGGATCTCCTGCGATTTTGGTTTTAAAAACTTTTGAGACAATTGCAAATTGCAAGCACAGCATCTTTCCTAGTTTGCTCTGCGGGTGCAGACCTATTTCTGCTTGTATTTTTTTTTCTTCCCATTTTTTTTAGGTTTCTTCCTCTGCAGGGCACCCGTATGCCTTATGTTCTCTGTCCACTGACACACCTTCTTCCTCTGACCTCTCAGGTTCTTTGGGGTCCCGGTTAAATGAACTCAAGCAGAAGGTGGTAGCTGAGAATCCGCAGGAGTATGGGGTCGCTGTGCCACGTAAGTCCCTTTTTAGTAAAACACGTTCCCACTCAGTCCTCACTTCCTTTTGGCACGTCATTGATTTGTTCATTCAACTATATTTATATAAAGTCACTCAGTGACATTGTTCTTTGGCTGACTTACAGCATAAAATAGATTTTTAAAAGGAAGTATCGTTAAAAAGAATCCCAATAGCATAGCAATTTGCAGTAGAAGTTGAACACCTCTTAATATACTTTATTAATGCACTTTATTCATATTCTGCTTTATCTCCCTGGAGGGACTCAGAGCGGATTACAGTACACATATAAGGCAAACATTCAATGCCTTTTACACAATGAACAATGACATACAATACACAGATAAGGTACAGGCCTTCCTCTTTTCATTTCCGGCGTCTGGAAACGATGCTCAACTTCCAGCCATGGGGAGGAGCTGTTGCTCCATTTTCCATGCCAAGGAGCCTGCCATCCATAGACATCTCTGAACTTTTTGCTGACATGTTTGCATGGGGCATTCTTTACCTTCCCACTGAGACAGTACCTATTGATCTACTCAAATTGCATGCTTTCAAACTGCTAGGTTGGCAGAAGCTATGTATATGAAACAGAAATGAATTGCATCTTTAGACTTTGGTCCCATCTCCAAGACATCTCAAATGTACATATATGCCAAAATTTGGAGTGGTGGGAGGGGGGGGGGAGCTGAAATTCAAAATACTTCTGTCCCAAGAATGTCAGATATTCAACTTGTATAAGAATTTCTAATTAGAGTAGATACTTAACAAATATACAAACCTTTGTGTTTGATCGCTCTTTAAATCTCTCCAGCAGGCTCTTCAGGACCAGTCCCATCATTAGGGTTATGCTAGGGGGCAACTGTGGTAGTCCTGGACCTGAAATTGTCTCCTTCTGAGTCTTCTGATTATACATATGTCCTTGGAAGATAGTGGTGTTTGTGAGACACAGGGGCCATCTACACTGGCCATTTAATGCAGTTTCGACACAGTAAAATCACAGGATGTCTTAAACCCACACCTGTTGATAGACTCTATAAGCTAGGTGGTATTCTCCCCCCCCCCACCCCCATGTGCGATGGGAAATTTCTGCCAATTGTGAGAGAAATACGGTTGAACACTATGAAAGCCACTCACTGTATGGCTGTCAACCTCCCCCCAGTAGACTTAAATCAKGAGAAAGTTTCGTGAGAACCATCACTCCTCTAAATGTTCCTCCAGCAACAGCAAGAATATCCCTGTGGGTAGCAAAATCAGGCAATTCCAACTGGATGGCCTCCCACAAGAGTCTTCCTCCAGGGGCAAACCAAAAATAGGCAACTTGGAAGTCCCTGAACAGACTCAGAAGTGGAGTGAGCAGATCACAAGACAATTTGGCAAAATGGCACTACCTAAAAGAATTGTCCCCCTTGTGCGACTATGGAGCAGAACAAGCAACTCAGCATCTCTGTGCTTGCCTCATGCACAGAAGAAGAACTGTTTAAAGCTACAGACAATGCAGTTGCTGTTGCCCTTTTTTGGTCTAAAATTATTTAGCTGCTTGTGATCCCATTATCAGTTTTAAACTTATTTATTTATGCAATGCTTTTGACATGAAATAATATTTATTTATTTATTTGTTGTGTCAGGGCAACCAGTCAATTGTATTACATTTCTAACAGAACAAAACAAACAGACAAAATACAAAATTTGCGAGTTTGGTAGTTGATTAAATGTCCTTTGACCAGTAGCTGGCCACTTGGAGTGCCTCTGGTGTTGCTGCAAGAAGGTCCTCCATTGTGCATGTGGCAGGGCTCAGGGTGCATTGCAACAGGTGGTCAGTGGTTTGCTCTTCTCCACACTCGCATGTCATGGATTCCACTTTGTGGCTCTGCATCTTGTGGTGCCAGAGCGCAGTCTGTTCAGCGCCTTCCAAGTCACCCAGTCTTCTGTGTGCCCAGGGGGGAGACTCTCATTTGGTATCAGCCATTGGTTGAGGTTCTGGGTTTGAGCCTGCCACTTTTGGACTCTCGCTTGCTGAGGTGTTCCAGCGAGTGTCTCTGTATTTAAGTTGTTGACGTGCTGGCTGATACCCAAACAAGGGATGAGCTGGAGATGTCTCTGACTTGGCCCTTTCACTATTGGCTGCTACTTCCCGGCGGATGTCAGGTGGTGCAATACCGGCTAAGCAGTGTAATTTCTCCAGTGGTGTAGGGCGCAGACACCCCATGATAATGCGGCATGTCTCATTAAGAGCCACATCCACTGTTTTAGTGTGGTGAGATGTGTTCCACACTGGGCATGTACTCAGCAGCAGAGTAGCATAGCGCAAGGGCAGATGTCTTCACTGTGTCTGGTTGTGATCCCCAGGTTGTGCCAGTCAGCTTTCGTATGATATTGTTTCTAGCACCCACTTTTTGCTTGATGTTCAGGCACTGCTTCTTGTAGGTAAGAGCACGGACCGTGATCTTACCTACAAGAAATATTAAATAACCCAGTATTTAAAAAAGAGCTTAGCTGTGCAGATGATTACCTAGGAACTAGTTTGAGACTCAGATGGTGATTACATAAACTACAGAACACTGATGCATGAGGTTGATGTTTGACTATCCCAAATTAAAGCTAGTTTCAATTTACATTTAATGGTCAGTGTGGATGGGGCCACAGTATTGTCCTGCATCCCCTGACCTTACCTGCTGCCCTCAGGTATGAAGGAGGACACTGTTCTCTCACTAGGATTCTAGTGGCAGTTTTCTTAGCTTCTGTATGTGGAATAGTTCAGAGAGCACAATATTGACCTTCGCTTTTGGTAGAAAATTGTCTTAAGTTTTCATCAAGGCTGGGTTTGAGTACTGCTTGTGAGGTGGGACCATAAAACTTCAGCACAACGTCATTGTGTTGAGATGATAGACAAGCTGACAAACTGTTCACCTGTGGGTTTAAGAGAAAATCCACTTCTAAAATAATTGCTGTAGGTGCACAAAGATCTCATACAGCCTCTTTCCCTGCCCACTCCAAGCTGCCCATTCCTGACTATTCAGGAATTGTGCAGATGGGCCCTTTCTCCTTTGGGATCACAAATGCCAACACTGCCGCTTCTGCTTTGAAAGGTTTCGAACACACCTGAGCCGAGGGAACCGTTCGTGCCAAGTGTGTGTGTGTCTCCGCATGAAAGGGGAAAGAACTGCCTGGCTCATGGGATTGTGCATGGCCTGTTTGCTGCAGTTTTTGGCACACTCATCAATGTTTATCTAATCCCCAAGGCTTTTTTAAAAAACAGAGTTGATATGGAAATCACATTTCAGCAACTCAACAGCTGTCACTGTGGGCTTTCCTCTTCTCACTAAATTCATAATAGTTGAAAGTGAGGAATTTTTATGATCTATTGATTAGTGAATTTCTTTTATGCTTTTTCTTTGAGAGACGGAATTCCATAGCTCTCTTCTGTCTTTTTTTACTTCATAGGGTTGTGGTAAGAATAAGTCATAGAGTCACTGAGCCCAAAGTGTGATAACCCAGGAACACAATTTTTGTTCGTGGGTTATAAATGTCATTTCCTAATTGGTTCTATCATAAAAAACATGGAAAAAGTTTACAAAACTGCAAAAACTAGGTTTTTAAAGGACATCCTGCAGCACATTTTGGTATAGTTTTTCAATGAGCCCCTCCCTTCAGTACCAACTGCTGCTCTGGGACCAGAGGGGGGGGGGGGCAGGAAGACAGTAATATATAGTATAGAGGGATCCCCCATTGGTGCAGTGGGTTAAACCGCTGAGCTGCCGAGTTTGTTGACCAAAAGGTCACAGGTTTGAATCCGGGGAGCGGTGTGAGCTTCTGCTGTCAGCCCCAGCTTCTGTCAACCTAGCAGTTCGAAAACATGCAAATGTGAATAGATCAATAGGTACCGCTCCAGTGGGAAGATAACGGTGCTTCATGCAGTCATGATGACCTTGGAGGTGTTTACAGACAACGTCAGCTCTTCGGTTTAGAAATGGAGATGAGCACCACACCCCAGAGTCGGACAAGACTGGACTTAATGTCAGGGGAAACCTTTACCTTTACCTATATAGTATAGTACAATATGGTAATATATAATACTAATATTGTGCTATGGTAATAATATAATATATTGTATTTACATATTATTGTAAACTGCTCTGAGTCCCCTTTGGGGTGAGAAGGGCAGCATATAAATGTCACAAATAAATAAATGAATATCTAACAGAGTATCTATCAATTCAACATAGTTTGTGGCAGCTTCAAAAATGAAGTTTCTAGAGTATAACAACTACTTTCAAAGCAAGTATTGAACAATTAAACAGGAAATAACACTTTCAAACCAGGAACAGATCCCCCCCCCCCAAATTTTGTTACATAGTGTAATCAGACTCCCGTGTCAATTAGGATATTGTAGGATTTATCCACATTACCTGAAATGTAATGACCAATTACCTGAAATGTAATGGCACAGCAGGTGGCACAGTGGGTTAAACCGCTGAGCTGCTGAACTTGCTGCCTGAAAGGTTGGCAGTTCAAATCTGGGGAGAGGTTGTGAGGTCAGACTTCATAACCTCTGAGGATGCCTGCCATAGATGCAGATGAAACATCAGGAGAGAATGCTTCTGGAACATGGCCATACAGCCTGGAAAACACACAACAACCTACTGATTCTGGCCATGAAAGCCTTCGATAATGCATGCCATAAATGTCAACATGAGACACACAATTTTTGTGTATATACTATGTTGAATCACACGAAGGTACCCTGAAGACATGAAGAGCATGTCTAAGGACATACTTTACCTGTAACAGTATTTCAGATATTTCAGTGATAATAGGTAGGAAAAGTAATTTGCCCTTTAGCTGCAACTACCTAGAAAGTAATGCAAAATTAATAACCATTTTATTGCTAATATTGAACTTTATCACACTTCAAAACTATTTCCAGGGTCTCTGCTGAGGAATTTTTTAGATTGTATAATCTGAAAAATAATGGTCCCAAGCTTGCGACGGGGTGGTGTGG